ATTATGGAAAATATTTAGGGAAAGTTGTAGACTATAGTCTCAAACCTTCTGGAAGGCCAAAAGATTTTATTGAGGCAGGTTGAAGGCAGCCACCTCATTAACATTAGCATAGAAAAGAGATAGAGGCTGATCAAAGGTCTTACCCCACACCCGTTTGTCTCCATTCTGTTTACTCATGTTAATTTTGTGCTGGGTGGCCCTCTCCAGGGAAGAGCAAAGGGGAATTACCTGTTAATAGCATTTACTCTGGGACCCGGAACCTAAAGCTTTTACCCATCGTAAAGAAATTCTCTTAACCGTGTTAATCATCCACAAGCGTGTTAACTTAGAGCCTCTGTTACGAATAAAACACAGAAGGTCTTGGTCGGTTGGTTGTATTTCACCCTCTGAAAGCAGCCAATGGCCATCCCTGGCCCACTTAAATCAATGTAATGATGTGAGAGTTTATTCATCCGTCCTTGAGTCAGAATCTTCAAGTCAGACTTCTGCAGGTGGGGACCAATGGTCAGGTGGTGACCTGACGTGATGGAGGACCCACACACTGGCCTGATTTGGGTAGGCAGGTAACATTTATTTGGATCCCTTTAAGCACAGCCTCAAGGACAGGAATGTGCTCATCCAGTAGACTCCCAGGTCAGAGACTTTTGCTCCTTTCAGATAAAGGGTCTAGCTCTGTCAGAGGCTCGGGTGGAGTGGCACCCTCACAGCTAACTGTAGCCTGGAAGTCTTGGACTTAATGATTCTCCCACCTTGAATTCCAGTATAGTTGGGACTACAGGTGTGCACTACCCTTCACCCCTGAACCTCAGCTAATTTTTTAAATTTTTTGTAGCTATGAAGTCTTGCTCTGTTGCCCAGACTGGTCTCAAATTCCTCTGCTCTAGTGATCTTCCTGCCTCGGTCCCCCCAAATGCTAAAATTTATAGGCATGAGCCACTGCTCCCAGACCTGAAAGATGTTTTTTATTATGTCTGTATTGCTACAAAAATACAAGCATTTCATGCAGAATTTACAACGACTTTCTTTCAAATGTTCATGCTTTCCTTTGTTTCAAAATTACTGCCATCATCTAATGAAAAAAAAATAGATTAAATTAATCAAAGGAAAAATTTAGGCTGAAAGTAAAAAAATTGTTAATGGTGAGATCCATTAGACTCTATTAGAATCCCCATTGACTGAGTCATTTAAAATAAGACTGCCATCCCCTGGAGATGACTCTGAGACAACCCCAGCCCTGAGGAGAATGGAACATATGGAACCCACAGGCCCCTCAGCCACCAGTGTGGGTGATTTTTTTTTCTGAATTCCATCATTTTGCCTTCTTGTCAACAAATCCTGCCATCATTTCACTCACATCTTTGCAGCATTTTCCAGAGCTGTTAACAGAAATCATTTCACAGAGAGTGGGAAAGAATGTCATTTTGTCATTTTCTTGGGGAAGTAGAGGGTAAAACAGGCAGCCTCTGCTTCCTAAGCCTTTCATGATGAAAAAAGAAAAGGAGAATGAGGCCTGCCTGCTAGTGGGCTGCAAGAAACAACTTTGCTTGGCAGCATTGTGCAGAGTAGTGACTGGAAACTCCCTGACCAACTTCTCTCCTTATTAACCAGAAGAAAGAACAGTTTGGGACCACATTGATACCCCCAAACTTACTGGCACTAATGAGCTGTGTGAACTTAATCATTACATTCTATCTGAAAAGTAAGAGGGACCTTAATCATCATCAAGTGTAACCTACTTCTTAATGCAAGAACTGCTTTTAATTACAGAATTCCTGTGAGATGGCCATTGGAAGCTCATTATTTCATTGAACTCTCCATCCCATGGTTATTTGTTTCATTTGTTAAGAAAGTCTTCCTTTTATTGAGCTAGGACATTCATTCATTAGTATTTGCTTTCCCCTTTGGAATAATAATAATGATGTATGATAAAACAGTGGTAATTGTAATAATGATGAGGCTGATGAGTAACATCACTTTTTTTCTATGTGCTAGGCATGTAAAAAATTTGCATGTGTTTAAGTTCTTATTTATCACGACAAAACTTACAGGTTATAGGAATTATGATTTGCTACTATTTTAAAGAAGGAAGGATTGAAACATAGAGTGCTAGAATGACCTTGTCAGGATCAGGAAACTCACAGATGGAGAATTAAAATTTGAACCCAGTTTTGTTTGATTACAGAACTCTACATACTGGGAACACACACATATGCCTCTAGCTCCTAATGTAACACATTTAAATTTCTCTGTGTCCTTACTCCTCTTTGTTCCAGGTTGCACATTCCACCTTCCTTAAGCATTTCTTATTTAATATGACTTTCAGTTGCCATATGATCATAGTAGATTTTATATTAGACGTTTCTAGCTTTCTTTTCTAATGTATGGAATCTTGAAGTGGAAAAAATACTGAAAATGTGATTTGACAAGTGAAGCATATAGAAAATTCTACAGCTACCTTTCATCACCAGCAAATTCAAATTTCTGCATTTGCAAAAAATATTAATAGCAAAGATGATAACTGACATAAGAAGAACATCAAAATACAAAACTTCAAGGAGAAAAAAACACTTATATTTGAGAAGACCCTATTGTGGACTTCAGATCAGAAGGCTTTTGTTTGTTTGTTTGAAACATCACAATTTTCTCCGTAAAACTGAGTATAGACAGTTTAAATAATTTCCCGTGTCCATTTGGGGATGTAATGTGACATCTCCCTCCATCTGTCAAAATTTGGTGTGCATGTGTTTATATTTCAATTGCCCAGATGCAGTCACACAGAGGATGCATCCATCTTGTGGATTCAAGTGCTCCACTGTAAGCTTCTGACAGAGGCAACATTGCTAAGAGGAGCTCAGGCTTTCAAATTAGTCAGGAAGATAAACATGAACTAGGTGTGATTCTCTCTGAATGGCCGAGAAAAGGGCAGGGCACCAGAGAATGCATAGGCACTATTTATTTACACAGCAGTAATGGCCACTACACAAGTCTCTGGCTGCTGAAGCCTTTCCCTGACACAGGTGAGCTCTGAGGTTAATGTGGAAATGGTGCTGAACAAGAATGGGCCTTTGAAAAACATTGAGGGGAAAGCTCTTCCCTTGGTCCTCTGAAGTTTCACCAAAAAATCAGCTCACAAAAGGCAGATTAATTGAATAGAAGGGATACAAATTTATTTAACATGTAAACATGGGATCCTTCAGAATGAAGACCCAAAGATATAGAGAAAATTGTTCATTTTTCTGCTTAGGTCAAACAAAGTACAGACAGCTATGTAGAAATATGACTGGACAAAAAGGGTATGATCTAATACTAATAGACTGAGTGGGGAATTCCAGCAAGGTCTGACTATGGAGATACTTCTTGGCATCTTTGAGCATGCATTATTTTCTTCTGGGTATGGGGCAGGACTCTGCTGGAATAGGGATCTTATGACCCACAGTCAAACAAGTCAGGTCAGATAATTTCTTTATGACAAGTTTTTACACAGTGTAGAGGGAAAGTTAGAGTGATGTTCTTAAGTCTTATGGCTGGCTTTGGGGAAAAGCTATCCTTGTTTCTATGGCCCACCTTCGGGAAAAGGAATTCAGTTTTCTGTAGCCAACCTTGAGGACGAATGGGAGAAAAACTTTTGTTTCTGAGGCTGCTTCTGAGGCTTTCATTTTATGGTATTGTTTTCTGAGTCAAAACACAGGTAAATAACAAGGCCAGTGCAAAAAGAAGCATATAGATGTCATTTAAAGGAACTGTAGCAGTAGCAGTTATAGTAATGAAAGGACACTGCTGCAGAAAGAGTAACATTAGTAATATGAGGGGTCCTACACGAAGCTAAGGAGTAAAGGGAACTTTGGAGTCAGGCTACCGCTATGCATTTCCATGTATTTTCCTATGTTCTTTTCTATTTGGTTTTGTTGTCTATGGCAATAAGGATTGTGAAAATAAGTGAATTAAAATCTAAGCTCTTGGAACTGTAAATTGTTTTGAGTCTTAAAGAAACGTGATTATGGGGCCTGATTTATGTGACAGGCAGCTGTAACCAAGGCGGTTGTAGCTTTGTTTCTCTGATTATAGATTAAGCCTTCTTTCTTGCCTTCATTATTTTGTAAAATATTATAAATGACTGAAGGGTTCTGGGGAAGATCCTTTCTACCTTTATTGTTGATCTTCATTATAGATTAATTTCCCTCTCACCGTTCTCACACAAAGACTTCATGGCCATTATATTGTCTTTAGATGGAATGTTATATATACGCTTTCAAACTGGAAATGAAATGAAAATGAGCTGTATGGAAAAGACTGTACTAATTAAATTATTGTAACTTATAAATCAATCTTTTATAGAATGTTTTGTTTTCCTGTCACATTTCTTTGTTTTCTGCCTATATAAGCAAGAGCCTAACTTTTAACTTTGAATCACTGACCCCATTTCTCTGGAATTTGTGACTCTCTAATGGCTATTCCCAGATTTTTGCTTTTTGCTTGAATAAACTTTTAAAACTGAATTCTGATCTTTTTGATTACTTCAGGTTGTCAGAGTCTTCATGAAAGTGTTTTGGGAGAGGCACTCTGGTGTCATAAACAAAAACAGACCCAGTTAAATGTGGAGAGTATTGGGTTACAATTCTAGTTATTAAGTACTGGTGTAGTTGGAGAACTGTTTATGACTGCGTGTGTGTGTCTGTCTGTATAATGAAACCAGAAATGCAGAATGCCTTGAATAAAAACTGTCTCTTGCTCTGCCTTTATAACTACCTAGTAGTCCCTGTTCCAAAGATAATTCCTTGTTGTTGTTGTTTTTAAAAAATTGCTTCTTGTAGAGGTACCATCCGTATCTCTTCCAAGGTGCTAATATGACTCTTGATCTATAACATATAGGTAGTACTATTTCCTATCTGTTGGAGAGAAATATTAAACTCATTTGTATGACCCTTACTTTTAATCTTCTTCTCCATTATTAGATTTTCAGTTGCTTATCATTGCTATTAAACAATTTAAAAAAATCTTTAGTGCTCATTTCAGCAGCACATACACTAAAATTGAAATAATATAGAGATTAGCATGACCTCTGCTCAAGGATGGCATGCACATTTGTGAAGTGTTTCATATTTATGAGGTATTATTCAGCCTTTAAAAAAAGAGTGAAATTTTACACATGCTTTAACATGAATGAACCTTGAAGGAGTTAGGATAAGTGAAATAAATCAGATACAGATGTACAAATTTTATATAATTCTACTTGTACCTAAAGTAGACAAATTCATAGAGACAAAAAGAATAATAATTGCTAGGAACTATAGAAAGAGATGAATAGGAAGTTGTCATTTAGTGGTTATAAGGTTTTAGTTTGGGAAGCTGAAAGTTCTGGAAATGAATTGTAGAGATAGCTGCAAAACAATTTGAATGTACTTTATGCCACCTAATCACAAACTTAAAAATGGTCAAAATTATGTATTTTGTTATTTATAATTTATCACTATATATATTATACATATAACATATAATTTAGCTCATACCCATATCTTTTGATTTACTCTTTGTAAAATTAACGTTTCTCTATATCTTTTCAATTTTTACTCATTATCCTAGAACTCTATGTACGTACTTTTTAATAAAGTCATGTAGAAGCAATGATTGCCGTCATTTTTAGGTGCTATTACCAAGTAATTTTTCCTTCTTTTTCTCTTCTATGCACATGGGGTGATTGAGCTTTCTAGACCTTGTGTATTTGATGCAGGCAGGTGACTACCTTTGGCAAATGAATTGAAGAGCAGGAAAGAGAGTTATAATCATATCTGGGCATTTAAGTGCTAAGTTCTCATTTCTCTGCCAAAGCAACTGACAAAGTTTGAGATGGCCGTTTTTTGTTGTTGTTGCTGTTTGTTTGTTTCATATGTTCTGAAATTGTCTAATGATATTTTTAGGAGTAGGAGACGTGTTTGATTTTATTCCATTCATGGATTTGTGTAACTGAAGTCCTCTTTAAATAGAAAAACTCATGTATTTTTTTCAGATATGCACTTTTTTTTTTGTATGTTATTGCGCTTATTTCCTCTTTTCTATTTTCTGCTTTCTTCTCTCAGAACTCATATGTATTAGATGTTGGGTTTACCAGGTTGTTTTTCTTTTACCCTTTGTATATTTTATCATATTTTCTGCCTCACTATCCATTTTGTTCTATGTTCATTTTGACTTCCTTCACTTTGTTTATAGATTTTTCAGTGATATCTTTCGAATCTCTCTGAAAAGACTAATGAGATTCCCTTTTAGAGTTCTTTCTCCTTCATGAGTTATTTCTGTTTTTACAATAATTGTTTTATCTACTAATTTTCTCATTTTGATGCTGCTTTTTTATATGCCCAAGTGATTATAGGTTATATTTAGCGTATTTAAAACAAGAGGTATTGGGCTGACTTTTCCAGATAGTGAACTAAATGTCTCTACTATGGTATTATTGTTAAGCTTGATTTCCCACAAAATTTCTTCTTCAGTCAGGAACCTGACCTGGCCAGCTAGGCATATAAATCACTAAGATGCCAGGCTCTTAATAAGGGATTGCCAGAGCCGGCAGAAATTTACTCCTGTGATGTCAGCACCCACTAGTGCTGCTAGTCCACCCCAATCAATGCATTCCAGTTTTTAAATGAAGAGGTCATCATTTGTGTTATGATGATTATTGTCATTTTGCTTGGTTTTATTTTGCTTAAAATCACTGTGACCTTTTTTGTATCCTTCTTATGTCCAGAAATGTGGGAGAGAGAAGAGAGGAGTAAAGAGCTGATTGGCTTTTTGTTCCAAGGCCAGAATTTTAGTCAGACCCTCTACTCTCCCCTACCAATTTTGCACCCCTTTTGTAATTCCACCCTCCATGACTACCAATTTTTTCCAAAACCCTTTGGGGTTTGCTTGAAAGATTAGCTCCCTCTTTTCCTGCCATTTCTTTTTTTGTTAATTTTTGACTGTAGATTCATCAACGCTCTTCATTCAAATATATAGTTCCCACTTATTTTTCATCTCTCAATAGCGCCTCAAAATCTAATATTGGATAATGATTCCGTTCCCATTCTCTTTCTGTTCAGGTTTATGGGTTTAATTCTGTTTTTATACTCTCATATTTTAGAGAAGTAGAGGCAAATGCAGGTACTTGATCACCATATTCAACCAGAGATCATATTATGTACTTGGAAAACTGAGAATTACACCACATTTTGTGCATCTGCCAGTGGTACACACTATGTTCCAAGTGAGGGCTATAGGTGGTAACTTTGGATAGGTAGAATGCAAGGAGGCATTTTTCGTTCTACCTAGACACAAGTGCATCATGATCTTTTAATAGTTTTTAAGCTATTTGAAAATAAAGCAGTAGGAAAATAGGAAACAAATGAAAGCCAGGATTTCAGTCAATAGTCCTTTCTCTTACTTTGTCTTTTTTTTTTTTTTTCTTATTTGATGGGGCCTCAGAACAAGTTGAACGTGACCATCCCCAAATTCTATTATTAAACTAGCAGTTCTGCTTCTAAACAGACCTAATTGCAACTCCTTCGTGGGATTGAAAATTAGAAAAAAAAATAGTAGTATCAGAAAAACTAAAACATTTTAGTAGGTTTTCTATTTGCATTTTAGATGTTGTTTCTCAAAGAATCTCAAATTCAGGTTTATTTTTGTAATTTCCTGCTTCTATAAATATTTCTCCAGTCATTTTCCTCAGTTCTTATAAGAATACATATGGTGCTCCTGAAAAATATTTTCACAAGTACTTATGGGTGATTTATTGGTGCTTAAATCCATCCTATGTTTGGTGTACAAAATCGTGTCTACTCAAAATGTTCAGTGTTGACAGCAACATGGTTTTTAGAAGTTATGCAGGCCTCCCTTCTGTCTACCTGCTTTTATTAACTTCTCTTTGCTCTTGTCTTCCTTAAATTTCTTGGATTTCAGTGATGTAGTCCAGTTCCTGGTATATACCACAGCATCCCCCTCCTTCTGATATCTCATTTGGATTGTCACCTTATTTGTATCAACCATGACTGTCTTATTCAAAGTTATACCTCCAAGCCTCTATTGACACCACATTCCTTAGCATTTTTTCCCCAAACTTTAGACTTGCTGTTAGAGTCCTGTAGGGATAAAGAGAAGAAGAAACAAATGACATTTCTCCTTGTAGCTCTGTGGATCTAGCCAGAGTCAATTTTACATTAGATTTATGGAAAAGAACTGTTGGTCAAGCTAAAGTAGTTGTAATGCCAGGTGTGTGACGTGTTAGAAAATACTGGAGCTGGCACCACATATTCTCACTCATAAGCAGGTGTCGAACAATGAGAACACGTGGATACAGGGAGGAGAGCACTACACACTGGGGTCTGTTGTGGGGAAATAGGGGAGGGACAGCAGGGGGTGGGGAGTTGGGGAGAGATAGCATGGGGAGAAATGTCAGATATAGGTGAAGGTGAAGGGGAGGAAGGCAGCAAATCACACTGCCATGTGTGTACCTAAGCAACAATCTTGCATGTTCTTCATATGTACCCCAAAACCTAAAATGCAATAAAAAAAAGAGAAAATACTGGAGCATGAAAACATCTGTTGGAAAAAAATCAACTGAAAGTAGTGGAGGTGATTAAAAGAGACAGGGCCTAGAGTTCACAGCTGGGCTTTTGTGGATGGAGATACTTTATAAAATAGAATATTTGAAATTAAAATTTGAGTCTCATCTCACTTATTACCCATTGAAATTAAACATGAATGATTCATCTATTTACCAAGAATGCTTGGAATGCTTTGTGCTAAATATGATGGAAAATTCAATGGCAACCAAGGCACTACCTTTGAGAAAACCTGGTAAATGGCAGAGGAGAGCTAAGTTTACATTTAATGTAGAAAGGGAAAAGAAGAAAGATGTGTCAGTATTTTGTAAGCTGCAGCATAAGTTCTTTAGGACGGAAAGAATACACTATGAAGATGGCTGTAGATTGAAAAAAGAAAAAAAAGAGCTTTACACCCTGGCTTTTGGAACCTCTGTAATCAAGATAACCCTCAATACCTCTGGGGAGCACATGGGAGAAGAAAGATGATAAGGACAACTTTCCAATAAGCTCTATCATGGCCCGTGGCAGGGGATAAGAAAGTTCCCATTTATTGGAAGTGTGTTGAGGGTAGCTAGAAAAGAAATTCCTGTTAATCACTCTTGTTTCTCTGTCAAAAAGAACACTTACTTAATAAAAGATTTTTAATTATGCCATCTGGCAAGTTATCTTGCATAATTGCAAGTACAAATCTTTCCACTGATGTCCTCCTAGAAGAATTTGAAGATACTGTTCTCCTCCTTAAGTCCTCTTCAACATTTAACAAGAGCCATAAATCACTGCTAATCCTGTGGCTCAGTTCTGGATGTTTCCTTAGACAACAATGGCATTTAAAGAAATTCTACTCATTAATGTCTTGGGTTATATACCTACAGTGAGTTTCATGTATAATAGAGTCGTCTACTTAGGCATCTTGCCAAAGGAAAGGTCATTCTGTGAAAGTCACTTATATTCATAGAGAGAACACCCCATGCTACCATTATGTATGGCTGAGTTACTCTACTCAGAAGAGAAGTTGCTTTTTCCTTTGTCATGCCTTCAATATTCTAAGAATTTGGTAAATGTCTTCATTTCTAGCTTCTAATACACAGATTAATAGAAGGAAATGTCTTCATACAACAGTAGCATGCAACACAGGTTGCAAAGCTCATAACCCAGGCAAGGTCAATTGGGACCTACTTGGTTTCTGAATTATGAGATCAGATGAATTGTAAGGGAGGGTAGGACACTGCATCTACGGCTGTTATACTGAGCACCGAACAACTTTTATGTGTGACATTCACAAAGACTACAGTGAATGGGACTCTGCAGTCCTCTGGAGGCCTTATAGAACCTCTATTCTTTGGCTTCAATTGGCAAAAGTAGACACTGAGGTTATTCAGGGAAAGGTAGAATTCTATTGCCACATAGAACAGAAAGTTGCATTGAGCATTCAGGCTATGCTATATTAGTAACATTAGTATGCCTATAGGAAAAATAGAAAAGAATATTTACAATTGAAATGTTGGTCTCTTCTTATCCATTGAAATCAAAC